CTGCGAAATAAAAATATATTTATAATTTTTGAGTGGTAAAAATATATTTATAATTTTTGAGTGATAAAAATAACTTTCTATAGATATCTCTATGGAGATATCTTGACTTCCACTGGAGATATCAATCTATCTACGACGTCCTTCGATTTATTGCTGACTGCGAATGGTCCGCTTAGTTGTACTACAGTATATACTTCTAGTTTATGACATAAAATGTTTTCACATCAACTAGAGCGAATATTTTTATGCCATATCTTGCTGGTTTCCTAAGCATGTATTGTCTAAAGGGACACTGCCCTCTAAATGTTACAAGCATATCGTTTACAGTAAGATATTCATAAAGTGTGTATAACTTTTGACTGTTGTCAACAAAGTTTACAAAAATCCCCCTTATACCGATTACTCTATCCAAAATTCTACGTTCATTCCGCGATTCAATATCATCGAAGCGTAAACAACTTAAAATTATTGTAAAGCGTTGTAGAGACATGGTACAGTATATTCTCCACAAGTGTCAGACCGCAAGGAAGCTAAACCTGACACTCCTAGAGTCAGGGACTACGTTTTCGAGCCTCGCGCCCGCCTTTGTAGTTTGCCGAACGTAGACAAGGACAGAGAATAAAAGATAAGCGTGAAACGTGAATCGAGGCAACCAAGCGATTTAAATATCAACTTTTTTAATTTTACGTTTTTTTATCCCGAATTAAAAGTATTAAAATTTTTTTTTTCTAATGTTTTTTTTTTTGGCGATGCAAAGATGGCACGTTCCAAAAGAGATGTCTCGGTGGCGCAGACATCGCAGGGTTATCTGAAACAAAGAACAAAAAGTTAACAAAATGGCACGTGTTGAAAGTGTAAGTGTCGAAATTGTACCGTTTTCTCGAGAATTTTTCAATGCAAAAAATATGATAAACTGAACATAAAAACGTAATTCTAGTTCCGACCAGAGCCACTGGTATATAGAATAACCTGTTAAAATTTCAGAGCGATCGGTTGGCTACTTTTTTAGATTTTACCTATGACAAGTGAAAAAATAACGTTTTGAGAAAAACGCGCTCAAAATTTTAAGAATATAATTTTTATGAGAAACACAGACAACTAATCGGCGATTCCAACTCAATATAAGATACCTTCAGCTTCCTTGTAGTGTTTTCTGACTCTGATTTGGCATTCCTACGAGCTGTCCTGGCTTTGGAGGCATGGGAAGTGGGGTGGTTCGCGGTGCGCATCCGCGAATAATTCCACGTCTGCACGAGTGTTATGGCTTCTGGACCAACTTTAACGCCCATAACGTCCATTATTTTTAAGATAAGCTCAAATCCTTCGCTAAATCCTTCGCAGCAAGATGCCACAAGCATCTTAAATTAAAGCTTTCGTTATTATTTTGAGTATTAGCGCCGAGGAATCTTTCCAATAATTCATCTGATGTTAACTCTTCATAAATAGATTTAAGAATAATTTGGACTTCGTTGTCGTGAGGGGATGGTTGATAATATTTGTCTAACGATATTGTAACTTCATTCTCACGCCATTTGCACCAAGATTTAGCTTTTGATGGGCAGTGTGAATATTGACGCTTCTCGTTAGTCGAGATTTTATGGTAATACAGTAATATGTTTTCGTGTC